GCGGCGCGGGCCGGGGAGCGGCGGGTTCAATGTCTTCTTGTTTTATGTTTTATGGTTATTTTGTTCAAATTTTTGATGGAAAAAAAAAAAAGATAAAAAAAAAAAAACTGTCCGACCTACCGACCCTATGCTATCTTTTTTGTTTGGCCTAAGCAGGGTCCTCGAGGGTACGTGGGAACTTGCCTAACCAGTCTACATGTGCCTTGTGGACCTGGAGAATGCATTTGACCGTGTCCCTTGGGGAATTCTGTGAGGAGTGCTTCGGGAGTATGGGGTACCAAACCCCCTGGCCGTTCGGTCCCTATACCAGCGATGTCAGAGTGTGGTTCGTATTGCCGGCAGTAAGTCGGAATCGTTTCCAGTGAGGGTTGGACTCTGCCAAGGCTGCCCTTTGTCACCGATTCTGTTCATAACCTTTATGGACAGAATTTCTAGGCGCAGCCGAAGCGTTGAGGGGGTCCGTTTTGGTGGCCTCAGTATTGCATCTCTGCTTTTTGCAGATGATGTGGTACTGTTGGCTCCTTCAAGCAGGGCTCTCCAACCCTCACTGGAGTGTTTCGCAGCCGAGTGTGAAGCGGGTGGGATGAGGATCAGCACCTCTAAATCTGAAACAATGGTCCTCAGTAGGAAAAGTGTGGAGTGCCCTCTCTGGGTCGGGGAGCAGATCTTGCCCCAAGTGGAGGAGTATCTTGGGGTCTTGTTCACGAGTGAGGGCAGGGGGAGCGAGAGATCGACAGGCGGATCGGTGCAGATGGATGGATATTGGCTTGACAGGACAGCCGCTCAGACTGGTTAGCACGGCGGCCTCACAGTGCAGAGGGGCAGGTTTCGATTCCGGCTCCGGCCTTCCTGTGCGGCGTTTGCATGTTCTCCGAGTGCCTGCGTGGGTTTTCTCCGGGTACTTCGGTTTCCTCCCACATTCCAAAAACATGCGTGGCAGGTCAATGGAACACTGTAAATTTTCCCTAGGTGTGAATGTGAGCGCGGATTGTTGTTCATCTCTGTGTGCCCTGCAATTGGCTGGCGACCAGTTCAGTGTTTTTCCCGCCTACTGCACGAAGATGGCTTGGATGGGCTCCAGCATGCCCGGCGACCCGTGTGAGGATAAGCGGATCAGAAAATGGATGGATGGATGGATGATAACGTGTTTCAATAACATTGTAGACTTTATTTTAATCATTTAATCTGTTTTGATTGCAGCCTTGTGTGTGTCAACAAGAGGAGAATGTGACAGACTACATGGACTACAGCTCCTTCAGCTTTGATTATAGCGGCATTCCTCTGCCTTGTGACAAAGAGAACAATCACCACTTCCGCCTGTGGTTCATGTCAACCTTCTACTCCATCATCAGCCTCACGGGACTGGCAGGGAACCTCCTGGTTATCCTCACGTTCATCTACTTTAACCGCCTGAAGACCATGACAGATGTGTACCTGCTCAATTTGTCATTTGCCGATTTCCTCTTTGCATCATCACTCCCCTTTTGGGCAGCCAATTCCATGGCTAACTGGATGCTGGGTGTGGCTTTATGCAAGATCATGCACACTGTTTACAAGGTCACCTCTTACAGCAGCATGTTCCTCCTCTGTTTAATCAGTGTGGACAGGTACTTTGCCATCGCCAAGGCTGTTTCTGCTCACCGCCGCCGCTCCCAAGCGGTGTTCTTCAGCAAAGTGTCATCCGCAATTGTCTGGGCCCTAGCTCTGATTGTCTCCATACCAGACATGAAATACACCACAGTCATCAAAGGAACCTGCACACCTTTCTCCAGTGCTTCTGACCCCCTTCGCATAAGCATCCAGATAAGTCAGATTGTCATAGCATTTTCCCTTCCCCTCTTGGTCATGAGCTGCTGTTACGTGAAAATTATCCAGACCCTTTGCCAGGCTCGGAACTTTGAGCGGAATAAGGCCATCAAGGTGATTCTTGTCGTGGTAGTTGTGTTTGTGGTCTGTCAGCTTCCTTACAATGTGGCTTTGTTTTGGTCCACGCTTGTCGTTGCAAACGGAGGCACTGCAGATTGCACGTATGAGAACAACCTTGTGTATACAATTGATGTCACTCAGTGTGTAGCCTTTCTAAGGTGCTGTCTCAATCCCTTTGTGTATGCCTTTATCGGCGTTAAGTTTCGCCACGACCTTCTGAGGCTACTCAAGAAATCGGGTTGCCTGAGCCAGAAGATGTTCTCCAAGTTGAACTCTAGAAGTACGAGAAGCTCAGCTGCCTTAGACACCGACACCACCACCACGTTCTCACCTTAGGGCAGCACAGCGACAACTTGCTCCCACACACCTCAAGTAAGAAAAAATGTCTGAAATAATATTTACAAGTGAGCCTTGATTGAGAACGGAGCTCTGCTCCCACGGCTGTGATGTAAACCGAATTTGTACATTAGTCTCAACATGTTGCTAACGTAACAGTAAAGTCAGAATTACAGTCAATATTTGTAGTGTTTGGAAAAACCCTTTTCGGCACGTAATATAAAGCGTTCAAATGAAAAACAGCAACAGCAAAGGTTGGTGGTAACTGTGCATGACTTCCTGTGTGGCGTGACAAACCTTGTATGCCAGTCGCAACCTGAGGACCCCATTAGTACTTTACCTAGCAGCTCTTGTATATAAGTCAGGTATATTACAGTTATTTTAGCTTTTCTCCCCAAATGGATTTGATTTTGTCTTCCGTCTCTCGATAAGGCTTTGTTGCATTGTATTTTTGGTCTTTAATGAATACACAGTATGCTTTTTTTTCCAACTATAAATGCATACAGTATCTTTGACTATACATATGTAACAAACATTTGCTTAAACTGTGCTTTATGTTGTAACTTCACAGGAACTATAAACAATACATGACAAATAGTTCTAGGACTAAATTGTGTGTTTTATGCTTTGCGCAATAACGGGTTAAGGTCTGGTGATTAACTTGGTCACTCTCAGACCTTCCATACTTTACTCTTAATGAAGTCCTTTGTTGTATCGGCAGTGTGTTTTCATCATCTTATTGCACGATGAAGCTTCTTCTGATTAGGTTAGATGATTTTTTTTCAGTAAAGTGCCAGACAAAATGGTTTTGCAGACTTCAGAATTCATTCTACTGCGACCATCATGAGCTACATCATCAATAAAGACATCAAAAGAAGAAAAAATATACATAGCCAAACCACAAGATGCAAGACACTCATCAGCAAAAAGAATCGGAAAGCCACGCCAGATTTTGCGAATAAGTACAGAGAAGAGCCACAAAAGTTTTGGAACAAAGAATTATGGACTGATGAGTCCAAGAATAAGCCTTACCAATGTGAAGGAAAGGCCAAATTATGGAGAAAAAAAAAAGGAGCTGCTTATGATCCAAAATCACAAGCTCATCTGTGAATCATGGTGGAGGTCATGTCACGGCTTGGATTTGCACGGCTTGGAACGGGCTCACTCGACCGCATTAATTAATATAACCCATGATGTTAGCAGCAGAATGAATGCATGCAAATTAATCGAGAGAAGCTTCATCATGCAACAAGATCATGACCCAAATCTCACTGCCAACAAAACAAAGGACTTCATCAGCAGGGAAAAGTAGAAAGTCTTCGATTGGCCAAGCCAAAGCACAATAAGTGTAAGGCAGGGCACCCCCCCCATCCCACCCAACAAACATGTTGTTATAAAATCTTCCATAAAGCACTAAATTTGCAGTAATTGTTTTGAGCTACTGAACACTCCACCTCTATCATTCATGCAAGTGTAGACATTTACACCCCTGGGATGACATCATTTCTTTATAGCTCCAGGGGGTTGGCAATCTAGAGTTGCTGATAGGCTCACATGGAAAAGGGTGTGATTTTACAATAAAAGCATGAAGCACCTACTGAGTCCAAGTAAAAAAAACAAGGCCAGGACGTTTTATCTTTGCTCTGGAGTCATCGCAAGACAACAAGGTAAGGCAACATTAAGAATTATAACACTAGACGAGGGTCTATGCACATGTCATTCTCGGTCTTGAAATATGTTTTAAATTGAGTACTTGGTTCCTCTATAAAGATCACAAAAAAAACCTAAACAAAAAAACCACTGTTCAAGTATTATCCATGCTTGTTTATTTATTTGGGGGGGGGGGGGGGGGGCGGGAATATTTGTTAAAATGTCCCAGGTTTAAAAAGTGACGTTTGAGCTGTTGACAGGAATCTGAATGTGTTTTTTTTAAAAGATAAGGTCAACACGGGATTTCCACAAATTCAAAGTCAACATTTAGTAGAAAACACTGTGGAGTCATGACAACCGGCAGTGTATGCCCAGTGACTCACTGAGTGCCACTCCTTAGCTTGAAAGGGCGAGTGAGACGTGTTATGAGTTGGATTGATGATTCCATATAATCCACACCTTTGCTCTTGGGAATTACTCAGGCTGAACTCACAGACGGCGACTATTTACTCATACTTAGTCAATATTCACTGAGTGTATAGCGCATATGTGGCAACACATGTTAGATGGCAAAGTAGAGCAGAACCGTTGAGGTTGAACATCACGAATTTCGCCACTCTGGTCAATCTCTGGTGCCCCCCTCAAACTGGTTGCAAGCCAATCACAGAAAAAAAAAAAAAAGTTAACCGCTGTTATATGAAGACATAAAAAGAACAGTCTTTCTCATCGCCCTTCCTTTAACAATGAACTGCATAATGCAATGACGGCCTGTGCTGCAGATGTGCATTTAGCATCTTTTTGTTTCTTTTGAATATACCCGACAGAGGTTAAGAGGTTCAGAAAATGGATGGATGAATATCTATTTCTTTTCACACAAGGCAACATGCTGTATGTATCTTTATAAGCTATATTAGGCTACTATCAACATGACTAAGTTGGCTACAAATACACAACGAGCATTCATATTTTTTTCCCCCTGCAGTTCATCCTGTAGAGTAGGGGTGCACAATCTTTTTTGACGGAAAATCTACTTTCCGATCAACCAACCTCCCGCGATCGACCCGTTACCGCACATGCGCGCATACGCACACACACACGCATGCCGTAATGAGCAACAGCCATAACGGCTGCTAACATGAACGAGGCACGGGACGCACTTTCGCAGCATGCTATCATAGCTCACGTGTACCGTTTAAAAATGCTTCTCTCTGCCACCCTCAAGTACCCTCAGTGAATTGCACATGAAAGGCTGTTTTTTTTTTTTTTAATAACAACCACCTGACTGACATCCTGCCCTGCTGATAGAAACGTGTGTCGCAGGGTATGACGCAAATCCTCATTGACAAAATGAAATGTAATATTTATTCGACACATTTTTACAGCATTGGAAAACGTTAATAATGTTTGTGTCATGTTTGTCTTCTTATAGAAACCATATTAAAACAAAAACATATATTTTCCTCCCCCATCTTTTTCCATTTTCAAACATTTAAAAAAAAAGCTCCAAGGTGCCACAAGGGGGGCGCTAAAGAGCCACATGCGCCTCTTGAGCCGCTGGTTGCCCACCCCCGGGTTAAACACTGTGCTCAATTTTCGTGTCTGGCACAAGCCTAGTGTAGTGAAGTCTAACTCTATGCATGGGTGGAGTTTTTGCTCTTTTGGTCTTGTCATCAGCGCCACAGTGGTAGACTGGTTAGCACGTCCACCTCACAGTACATAGGTCCAGGCTTAATTTCCCGTCCTTGTGGCATTTGCATGTTCTTCCCGTGACTGCCTGGGTTTTCTTCAAGTATTCCGGTGTTCTCCAATATTCTAAAAACATGCATAGTAGGCTGAGTGATCGCTCTACATTGTCCCGAGGTGTGATTGTGAGTGTGAATGGTTGTTGTTTGTCTATGTGTGCCCTGTGACTGGCTGGCATCCAGTTAAGGATGTACTCCGCCTACTGCCCTAAGACAGCTGGGATACGCTCCAGCACGCCTGTGACCCTTGTGAGGATAAGCGATTTGGATAAAGGATGGACGAATGTGTGTTTTTTTTTCATACACGGGCACAGTGAGAAGTGGGCGTTTGTGCATATGTGGGAGTGAACACAATCAACTTGATTACTGGCCAATCGAAGCGGCTCCTTCTCATCCCCATTAAATTAAGCACAGGTGAAGCATTGGGGAAAAATAACAGACATTGCACTGGAGTCCATGCAGGAGATCGGTGCATGCAAATTAAATTTAAAAGGAACGACAAGAAGATGATGATGTAACGTTGGACCCTTTCAATTGGGCACTTGGAGACCCCCTTGCACCCATGATCAAGCATCTGTCACCCCTGCCCCTCCGACAACACACAAACCATCCAGATGTGCCGCGGACACGGGGCGAACTTCAAAAATGCATTCAAGATGGGAATAATAGTCATAACATATTAAATTACTTGATATTTACTGTATGAATTAAACACGATAACATCCACCACGCCTCTCAGTGGAGCGCAGAATCTGATCAAATCCACTAAAATCGCTTGACACTAACTGCACCACAACTTAGTCTATGCTTCAGTCTACTTTTTATCACCAAATTGTCAGGGGGATGTAATAAAAAAAAAAAAACATCCTCGGTCAGCTGGAACACTGTAAACTAGACTTTCCTGGGCGCAAACATGATGCGGCAGTTTTTATGACGAGTGTACGTGCACCTGTGTTTGAAAATAGAGCCTTCCAAGTTACCTTTCCAAAAGAGTGACAACGTGCACAATAAAAGCTGGAAACAAGTATTTCTGATTTGATCCCGTGATGGAAAAGGGAGAACCTTCCAAATGCTATTTATGTCTGTAATAACGTGTAACTGATCTCTCTTTGTTGTGTCCATGTCTTTAGTTGCGCCAAAAGATTGTGAGCACTCTTTCGAACATGATGCCTATCGCCGAAGGCATGTCCCATATCCTACCCAATCACGTTCTGAGAGTGGGTCAAACTATACGTCTGGAACCCGAACAGGAGACGGTGACTGCGTGTTCACGGCCAAGCGAACCCAGCAGCCGCATCGGGGATGCGGATCTGGACATTTCCCTGGATAATCTCAACCAGCTCATGCTTGAACTGGATCCGAGCTTTGAACCAATTCAGCCCAACAAAAACCATGCGTGCATCATTCCGGTGACAGGTACAAGTATGCTAGCACGGAATTAAATCTTGATCGATGATAACAGCAGAGCAATAAAGCAAGAGGTAAAACAAAACATAGGAAAAAGTTAAATGCCACATGTGAATGGTATTCCAAATATAATACCAAGGTGATCCAAAGGCATGTTCAGACGAATTTTCAATGTTTATTTTTTGGGAAAAATGCAACCCAGCCTCCAGGAGTTCTTTTTGTTTTCTTGTTTTTTTTTTTAATCGCAGAGTAATTGCACCAATTCAGGTGTTCTGGGACTGCTGCCCAGACTTTTATTATGAGACACACCCTGAACCTCTCAGCCTACTCACACAAAGAAAATTTCCATATAAGCCCAGTAGTGGTGTAGAGTTGTTTTCACTTTGTGCCTTTGCAGTAGAAATACATTGTATTGCCTATTCTGCTTGTAGCTACACAATAGGTTGTATGTGCATTTCTGGAAGCAAAAATAATTACAATGATCAGATATGTTCAAGGAGTTAACCCCCATGTGCAAAACACAGCCTTTTCTGCGTACTTAAAGCACAATGCACATTTGCTATGTAAATTTGGCTGTGCAAGTTTTTGGTTTGGCTCCTACTCTGACTGCATTCATTTTCCCCTGAGTGAATGAACTAAAGCCATAGTTCCCATCAGCACAGAGACGTCAACCTAACCTGAAGTGAACAAGAACAAGTTAGAACCTCTCTCGGATCGCTGAACAAATTAACACGTCCACCTTGAAAGGATTACTCTGTGCTGTGCAGGCAGTTACCTGCATGAGAATTTTCGGGCTGCAGTTCGTGTGCGTACACTCGCCAAGCCCTTTTAATCAATATAAAACCAAAGCATGAAGTAGGAGCATGAAGACCAATCATGGAGGTTCACATTAAATCTTTGCCCCCCTCGCATGTGCCCTTTAACAGCAAAACCTTTCCTGTTCTCCCTCAGAAGGATACTGCTCCTCGCCCACGGCATCCCCCAGTGTTCCCGCCGCCAGACCCCCCAGTGTCAGCTTCAGTCCCCCGGGCACGTTGGTCTTTTCAGACTCCCCCTCCTTTTCGCGGCCTCCGCTGCCGTGTGGGGGCGCACCCAAAAGAATTTCCCCATTGAGGCATGACATATCCTGTTCCCAAGGGTCCCTTCGCTTGTCCTACCCAAATAGGAACAGTGCAGCCTCACTTCTCTCGACATCAACATGTTCAGATACCAGCTATTTCCCTGGATAATCTCAACCAGCTCATGCTTGAACTGGATCCGAGCTTTGAACCAATTCAGCCCAACAAAAACCATGCGTGCATCATTCCGGTGACAGGTACAAGTATGCTAGCACGGAATTAAATCTTGATCGATGATAACAGCAGAGCAATAAAGCAAGAGGTAAAACAAAACATAGGAAAAAGTTAAATGCCACATGTGAATGGTATTCCAAATATAATACCAAGGTGATCCAAAGGCATGTTCAGACGAATTTTCAATGTTTATTTTTTGGGAAAAATGCAACCCAGCCTCCAGGAGTTCTTTTTGTTTTCTTGTTTTTTTTTTTAATCGCAGAGTAATTGCACCAATTCAGGTGTTCTGGGACTGCTGCCCAGACTTTTATTATGAGACACACCCTGAACCTCTCAGCCTACTCACACAAAGAAAATTTCCATATAAGCCCAGTAGTGGTGTAGAGTTGTTTTCACTTTGTGCCTTTGCAGTAGAAATACATTGTATTGCCTATTCTGCTTGTAGCTACACAATAGGTTGTATGTGCATTTCTGGAAGCAAAAATAATTACAATGATCAGATATGTTCAAGGAGTTAACCCCCATGTGCAAAACACAGCCTTTTCTGCGTACTTAAAGCACAATGCACATTTGCTATGTAAATTTGGCTGTGCAAGTTTTTGGTTTGGCTCCTACTCTGACTGCATTCATTTTCCCCTGAGTGAATGAACTAAAGCCATAGTTCCCATCAGCACAGAGACGTCAACCTAACCTGAAGTGAACAAGAACAAGTTAGAACCTCTCTCGGATCGCTGAACAAATTAACACGTCCACCTTGAAAGGATTACTCTGTGCTGTGCAGGCAGTTACCTGCATGAGAATTTTCGGGCTGCAGTTCGTGTGCGTACACTCGCCAAGCCCTTTTAATCAATATAAAACCAAAGCATGAAGTAGGAGCATGAAGACCAATCATGGAGGTTCACATTAAATCTTTGCCCCCCTCGCATGTGCCCTTTAACAGCAAAACCTTTCCTGTTCTCCCTCAGAAGGATACTGCTCCTCGCCCACGGCATCCCCCAGTGTTCCCGCCGCCAGACCCCCCAGTGTCAGCTTCAGTCCCCCGGGCACGCTGGTCTTTTCAGACTCCCCCTCCTTTTCGCGGCCTCCGCTGCCGTGTGGGGGCGCACCCAAAAGAATTTCCCCATTGAGGCATGACATATCCTGTTCCCAAGGGTCCCTTCGCTTGTCCTACCCAAATAGGAACAGTGCAGCCTCACTTCTCTCGACATCAACATGTTCAGATACCAGCTACATCCTTGGCAGGTACAACTCATTCGCTTCCTTCGTGAACAATCAATAAAAATGAATAATTCACAACCACTGACTCAATCAAACGACACAAGAACTAAATTCGCATTTAGAAAGATATCAACGCTCACTCGCAAGCTATTTACCGTGATTGCACTTTACAATGTGCGTACAACTGCGCTGCATCGTACTGAAAGCTGTTCTGAATATTTGACAGTTCACATGCTAATGATGTGTCCAATCAATGAGCTATTCATTCAATGATAAGGTTCAGTGGGGGTTGCAGTTTGCACCGATCTAGATTTTTATTCTCTCATAGCAGCTCTATTTTAGAACCTCTATATCATATGATTATATTACATTTTTCTCAAGTCATGAAAGCTAAACTAAGAATAAAACAAAACCACCTCAGTATGATAGGACTGCTAATTACAGCCATTACGACCACAAAATTGCAGCCACATTTGTTTGATGATCCATCCATCCATTTTCTGATCCGCTTATCCTCGTGAGGGTCGCGGGTGTGCTGGAGCCTATCCCAGCTGTCTTCCGGCAGTAGGCGGGCTATACCCTGATTATATTACACGTACAGTATATTTCAAATTTTTGAATCAAAGACACTCATCCATTTTGTTTTCTACAATGCTTATATCTTGTTCAGGGTTACAGGGAAACAAATTCGCACCTGTACAAAGCAAACTGGCCATTACAATCCATTCTGGAGAAAACTTTCTTGTGAGGGTTAAAATGTTCATGGGTCAATCAGACCTGCTACTCGTCTCATCATAAAGAATATATCTACTGTAGGTCATCTACTTTGTAACCGTATTTTTGGGTTTTTTTTTTTTTTTTTAAACATCACAATGAGTATATTTGGCCTGCAACATGACAGGAGGGTCAAATTACTCTTTTTTCGTGTATAATGCACAACATTGACCTAAAGGGCTATTCGCTGGTCACGCTGATAACATTATAATGTGTACCTACTGCACAGTAAAAAAAAAAAAAACGTGTGAACTTAAAATTTCAAGGCAACAATCAAAGTTGGGCAATCCATCTAAATAGTTTAACTTTTGTTGTTGTGAAAATTGGGTTTCAACAACAACAACAAAAAAAGAGACTTTACAGAATTGCTGTCCCTTGGATTGGCCCCCAAACTTAAAGATATAAGAATAAACAAATCGGGAAATTGTTTTGGAGGAAAGAACTTGCTTGCTTTGTTGTGCTAACTATGGTTACATGACTGTTTTAGCCCCCCCCCCCCCCAAAAAAAATACATACACAAATGGTGGGTTTTTTTTTTTTTACAGTGTGTGTACTGATCCTCTTGTCCTGATATAGCACCCAGTCTTTGGCCAGCGAAGATGCAGACGGTCTCGGATCAGTCCTCTCTCTCAGTGATGGGTGTAGGACAAGGCAGTATATGGCCCAAGATGGGTCAGAGAAGCGAGGACAGGAGATGCCAGCCAACTGCTCAATGAGCAGTCCTGAGCAGTCGCTCTCTGGGTCTTTTACTGATATTCCATTGTTGCTGATCAATGGCGTACCACATCGGGACAGTAAGAAATCTCCTTCTTCAGACGATGAAGTAGCACAGAGGCCATTTACTCATCACAGTGAGTCTCAAGCATTGTTGTTTGTGTCTATACTGACTGTTTGTTGGAACTTTATCCAATTGACTCCATTTAAACATTTTCTTGCCGATTTCAGGTTCCGAAGCCCATTTAAATGGGAGTCAGTCATCAATGAAATTTGTTATGGACTCTTCGAAAATTTGGTTCCGTCCACATATAAGCAGAGCAGAAGGTAAGAGTCCCATCGTAGGGCATATTTCGCAAAACAGTTATGGAGAGCATTTTTATGAGAAAAGCTAACACAGCTCAAGTTCACTCTTTTGCAGTGAAAAAAAAAAAAAAAGGAAGTGCATCAGGAATAACAAACTCTTATGTCTGATCCACCTCAGCTGAGGCCTTTGTGAAGGACAAGGAACCAGGAACATTTGTGGTGAGGGACAGCACTACATACAGAGGAAGTTTTGGTCTCGCCATGAAGGTTGACCAACTAGCAGCCGGTTCGGCAACTGCAGACATTGGTAGGTTTGAGGCCATGTGGTTATTTTCGGATTTGGTTTTTAAATGTAACAGCTGCATTTCTGTGACCAGTACATAATGATGTCAAGTTTTAAAAGGGCCTCATGACTCACTGACTGTACCTAACCCAACTGACAAGGAATATGGGACCATTTTATATAGGCAGGCTAATAGTCTACTGGTTCAGTACAGAGGTGCAAGGTTCGATTCCGGCTCTGCCCTTCCTGTGTGGAGTTTGTTCTCCATGTGCCTGCGTGGGTTTTCTCCAGGTACTCTGGTTTCCACCCACATTCCAAAAACATGCATGGCAGGTTGATTCAATTCTCCAAATTGTCCGCAGGTGTGAGTGTGTGTGGATGGTTGTTTGTCGAAGTGGATTATAAAATGGATGGATGGATGGATGATTCTTGTGATAAAAAAATAGTTAAAATAAAATTAAAAAAATATCATATCAAGTCCTCTCATCCCTTTTCAGGCTCAGTATTATAATATATATATATATATATATACCACATTTTCCGCACGAAAAGACGCACTGGATTATGAGGCGCACCTTCAATGAATGGCTATTTTGTAAATTTTTTTCATATATTACACGCTTTGGACTAAAAGGCGCAATCTACAATGTGTCCACTAGATAATGCTACGCTCCTTCCATTCAACTCGAGAGGCGTCCGTTCAACTTGAGAGGAGTTCATGACGGCCTCTGAAAAATGTAAATTAACTATTACTGTCCTTAAATGAAACTACGAAAATTGAAAATAATGCATCAAAACAGAAAATCAAGCGAGGAAATCACAAAATAAATTCTGTATAGGAAATATAGAATTTAGGAATACAGAATTTATTTTGTGAGTTCCTCGCTTGATTTTCTTCGTGGTTTCATTGAAGAATTAATTTACCTTTTTCGGAGGCGGCCATGTACGCCTCTCGAGTGGAACGGAGGAGAAGGCCCAGAGATCGACAAAGACGTACAGTACCTGTATTTGTTCAGACTGTGAAAACCATTAATAAAGTCTGCGTTTAAAAAAAAATAAAACCACAACCACAGCTCTCATTTTTTCAACAAATACAGGTGCGTCTTTGTCTGTCTCCTTCCCTTCTTTCCTTCTGGTCAACTCGAGAGGCGTTCATGACCGCCTCCGAAAAACACATTGGCATTTCCTTTATCAAAGCTCCAAGAGTACGATCAGATAAGATAAAATCGGAAAACCTTTAATAGTCTCATAATGGAGAAATTCCCACTTCACAGCAGCAGTTATGAGAGGAAGAAGTAGAAGAACAAAATAAATGGGAGCTGCTGGAAAGGCAGCCACTCTCGCGGCGCCATCTTGAAGTCAAAATAACACAACAAGATGTCAGTGGTAGTTATTTATTCCTTTGTTGTGTATTCACAAATGATGAAATCACAATATACATTCTGTAGGGGGGGGTATATAATTCATTTTGTGATATCCTTGCTTGCTTTTCAGTTTTGATGTATTATTTTAAATTTTTGTAATTTCATTGAAGTAATCGTTAGTTTACGTTTTTTTCGGTGGCGGTTTTGAACGCCTCTCGAGTCGAACGGAAGAAAGCACGGAGACAGATAAAGACGTACCTGTATTTGTTGAGACTGTTTTAAAAAATTAACACCACAGCTCTCCTTTTTTTGGAGCTGCAACACAAACTTATTTAATAAAGCAGTGACACAGTTCACTGAACCAACAGCAAGTTATAACATTGGTAGCATGTCTCCAGGAAGGAGCCATCTTGGAGTCGACATTTTACCGTCATGACCATACAAAAGACGCACCGGATTTTAAGGCGTTCGGTGACCTTTTAAGAAAATTGAAGACTTTTTGGTGCACCCTTTAGTGCGGAAAATACGATAAAGGTAGACCCGTCTTGGTTGCTCCTGATGTGTTTGTTGTGTGTGTCCCAAACAGGAGGAGAGGGCGGCTCGAAGTTTGTCAAACACTTCCTCATCGAATCAACAGCAAAGGGTGTTCGCGTTAAAGGCTCTTCTCAGGAACCGTACTTTGGTAAGGTCAACAATACTTTGTTTGTCAAATAATCTTCTCGAGGAAAGCAGGAAGGTCATGAACGGAAACTGTTGCGATTAACAGAAAAAAAAGAAGAACTGAAGTCGGGCTAAATATTTTACGAGTGCCTGCACAAGACACAGCAAAGTAGGTCAACTGGATTGCTTCCATTTATTTTCCTGCCACGTCACAATTAATCATAACTGCCCTTGCGTCTTACGACGATGTCATTGGGGACGCGGCTGAGCTGGAGCCTATCCCATCTGCCTCCAGGCCTGAGATGGGCACACCTTGGACTGGTTGCCAGTCAAGTGTATTTCGGATAAATACAATAATTTACATCCTTTTTAATTTTGACATTCTTGGAGTAATTCTGAGTATCTCAGACAAAACACACACAAGCAGAGGGAGGAGAACATGCAAACTCCACATCACAGGGTTCAAGCCACGAAACCTGAGCTACAGAATTGTGAGGCAGACAAACCCTTGGGGTTTTATTTTCAGTTTTTTGCTCCATTGACTTGCCTGGCCGGTACAACTAAAGGTACAGTGTTTTGGACAAAACACTGATGACAGCAAAACAGCGTGAAATTTAACAGCTGATATTTGCCATGTTTTTCTTCAAAATCGTTTCTTTCAAAATCAAAATTTTCTCTTCTTACACGATGGCATAGTACTGACAAAAACAGTGCCTTGAGGGGCATTTTATGTTTTCTTTTCTGACAGTTAGTTACATCATACGAGCAGCCCGGTGCTCCAGTGTTTATCGCATCGACCACACAGTGCAGAGGTCGTGGGTTCGATCCCGGCTCCGGCCTTCCTGTGTGGAGTTTGTGTGTTCTCCTCAGGCCTGCGTGGGTTTTCTCTGGGTTTCCTCCCACATTCCAAAAACAAGTGATTGAACACTCCAAATTGTCCCTCGGTGTGAGTGTGAGTGCGGATCGTTGTTAGTCTCTGTTTTGGCTGACAACCGGTTCAGGGTGTCCCCCGCCTACTGCCCCAAGACAGCTGGAGTAGGCTCCAGCACCCCCCATGACCCTTGTGAGGATGAAGCGGATCGGAAAATGGATGGATGGAGTTACATGATACACTTTGCGCAACATAGCTCGCGGTACCGGGCACTCAAATGATATGAGGAAAACCAGGTGGGCCAATAATTTTCTTCCATGACTGTATTTTACATTAGAACAACCTCAACGCACACCACAAAAACAACAGTTCAAAAAAAGGATACTGTATATCCTGAAATAATGATCAAATGACTCACAAATGCAGTTAATCAGTATGACTGTTTCATGGCACACAAAGCAGACATTCTGTTTGGAAATGAAAGAAAGGCAAATTGTGTGCCCTGTGGTATGACTGGCAATGGATGGATGCACAAGCTTCATGAATTTTACATCTGTGGTTCGATTAGTAGTAATTCATTAGTTTGGCTTGAAAAAAACAGCATCAGTACATAAGTAGCATAAGTATCGGTACTCCGGTTTCCTCCCACATTCCAAAAACATGCATCGTAGGTTGATTGAATGCTCTCAATTGAGTGTGAGTGCGGATGGTTGTTTGTCCATGTGTGCACTGCGATTGGCTGGCTCCCAGTCTCAGCGTCTTGCATTGCAGCAGCCTCTCGCGGTTGTGCGAATATATGGATGAGGAGGGTGAGGCTTTGTAAAACACTTTAGAATCCATATGGTGTGGATAAAGTGTGATATAATTGCACTCCATTTAGCATTTTTTGTGGTCATTAATTATTTTTGAAAATATAATGTTCTCTTTTTTACAGGAAGCCTCTCTGCACTGGTGTACCAGCATACTATTTCCACTTTTGCTTTACCTTGCAAATTACTGCTCCGCTCCCAAGGTAAAGTCTGTGTGTGTGTGTGTGTGTGTGTGTGTGTGTGTGTGTGTGTGTGTGTGTGTGTGTGTGTGTGTGTGTGTGTGTGTGTGTGCGTGCGTGCGTGCGTGCGTGCGTGCGTGCGTGTGTGTGTGTAGGATAAATTAAAGATGAAATATGCATTTTTTGAGGCGGAGCTCGGGTGTTGCGATAAGGCAAGAGGCTATTTGCTCTCAAGCAGTCCAGGGTCTGAAGAGCAAAGCAAGCCTACATACAGATGAAGTAAAACTGTAATTTGCATTCTAACATGAGGAGGCAGCAGCACATCACCAAGCCACCAAATTACACTTGTCAATGAGTGTGCATGTCCTTTAAACACAAAACCACCCCCACTGTCTCTTTCAATAATGTCTCCTTAATTTGACTTGTCTGACAACAGGACCGGGTGGAGAAGAGAGAACAAAAGACAAATCACCCTTAGAGGAAAAGAAAGGAACAGGTAATACGCTGTGATATTAGACAGTTTTAGTTTTGAGAACTGCCAGCTAATAAGGCGAAGGAAAGTGCAGTGAAGAAATAAAATGAAACGGCCGTGTTATTTTCTGCATTCTGTGTAGATAAGATTGAAAGGAAACATACCGGGTTTTTTTTTACATTGCAAAGCAGTTCCCAGGTGTCTTTAGAACATGCCTTTCTTTTGTCAGAGTACACCAATACAATAAACGCAAGAAGCAATCCTGTCTCATAAAAGTCATCATTGTGGGTTCTACAAATATTGTGTGTTTATTTCAGCCTGCAATTTCATCTACCTGAATGCTGTCCCCACTGAGATGTTGACAGGACCTTGTGCAGTGGAGAAGGCGGTTTCCCTCACCCTCCAACTGCCGTCGGGCTCCTTTGAACCCGTCATCGTGAACCTGAAAGTGTCTTTGAAGGGCATCACTCTGACAGACATCAACAGGAAGTAAGACGGCACACATCCTGTCACGTTTGTCACAATGAGACATTGTGTGTGAAATTCGATGTGAACATATTTTTTTATTCTTCCAGGCAGTTCTTCAGACGCCATTACCCCGCTCACCTGCTTAGTTATGGTGGAAATGATCCAGAGGATCGGAGGTGAGGGTTCATTATGATGCAATTGCAGTGAATGCACACACATGACAAGATAAGCAGTGGGACTTGTTTTTCACACTGGTTATAATATAGATCATGTGATGTGAAATTCTATAGGGCTTCGATTCCGGTTCCGGCCTTGCTGTGTGGAGATTGCATGTTCTCCCCTTGCTTGCGTGGGTGTTCTACGGGTACTCCGATTTCATCCCACATTCCAAAAACATGCATGACAGGCTGATTGAACACTCAGAATTGTCCCTAGGTGTGAGTGGGACCGCGGATGACAAATGGGACAGATTCCAGCACGCCCCGCGACCCTTGTGATGATAAGCAGATCAGAAAATGGATGGATGGATGGATGGATAGTAAAAATAAAGGCTAATAGCATTAGCTGAAATGGCTCTCACAGCCTTCACATAGTACAGGAATTTTTTTTCTTGCATTAACTGAATAGGTGTTCTTTGGGTGTTTTTAGATTTTGTATCAAAGCTGATCAGGTCGTTTCATTTCCATTGCCCTTTCTACTTACGTTTCCTGTCAACATAGCATATGCCCAGTGTAAAATAAATCACCTTACATGCAGATTGTAGTATTTGAGGCATTATCCATCATTTTCTACACCGCTTCTCCTCATTTTGGTGGACACCTTAGACTGGTTGCTAGCCAATCGCAGGCCACATATGACAAACAGTTACGCTCACATTCAAAGCTACAGACAATTTAGTGTTCGGTTAACCTAACATTCATGGTTTTGGAATGTGGAAGGAAGCGGGAGTACCTTGCCCAAACCCCGCATAAGACATCCAAACTCTTGAAACTCATAACTTTGAGGCAAATAAGCGGCCCGTATTTCAGGCAAATACTGCATAAAATAGCCACTTGTTATTCTATTGGGGGGGGGGGCCCTATGTCTTTTGCTAAAGATTTTCTTTCTTTCTTTTTTTTCCTGCTACAGGTGGAGAAAAGGTTTAAATTTTGGTGCAAGGTACGCGAGTTGTTTTGTGTGTAATGTGACAGAATAACCGCTAACATGTATAATTTGACATCAATATTCATCGTCTTTGAATGATGTATGTCTTAAATTTGAAATAGTTTACAGTTATTCCTTTTGTTTGCAGGATTTTTGGTTTTGTAGCAAAAGGTGTGGAGGCCGGCATGGAGAACGTCTGCCATGTCTTTGCTGAATATGACCCTCTGCAGCCCTGCAGCGCAGCTGTCAATGTTATTCAGGCTGTCATCGCCCAATCTTAGGTGCTCGAATACTAAAATACCATCAAGCATCGGGTTCTTCGCACAGATTGTCTCTATATTTTTCAGGTAAAACTGCTGAGAGTTGAAGCAACATCAACCAATAATATTACCTTCAAATAACAGCTTTCAAACCACGTGGATGGCAAACTTGTGGATGGCTTGTCATACGCAGAATAGCTTCTGTGCCATTGTCACAGCAAACCTCGATTTGCCGACTTAGGCTGTCTGTAATACTGCTGGAGCAATCAAAACACCTTTTGTGTTTTGTTATTTCTCGCGTGGGCTTGCGTGCATGGTATAAGGCTTGTATACGCACGCTAAAATAATCAGACATGTTATGACATCAACACGCTCTGTGACTGTTTAGCACTTAAATCCACTGTCTTGGCTCCTTTGGCGACCATGTCTTTGCTGGTAACCAATCATTCCTGTCGATTTCAGTCGTAGTATTTGCCATAGTGGTTTAGAGTACATAAGATTTCACTTTGCAATTGTATGGGAAGCCCTAGGGCAGACAATAAAACAGGCTGCGGTACTTGAACAACCTTCATACTACTTAGTTGGATAATATTTAAAAAAAAAATATTCAAACTATTTGCCTGGGATAGGGAAAGTCAAAGGCACGATCCAAGAGTCAAGAGAAAATTCAATTGTCAGTGGTTTAGAGGTGCTGAAATCCTGCCCCGGCATGATTAATGTCGCTGTTTTTAACACAGTATTATTCCCACATTTATGAAAAAGAAAAAAAACACATTTTGGGAAAATCTGGGACCAAACATGTAACCCAACTGTAAATGTTGAGCCAAAGACTGAATTGGATTCAGAAAACAAACATCGGCTAACCGTATTTTCTGGGAGAATGAAACTGCATTTCAATACAGCAACACCTCTAACATTCACATTAACCGTATTTGTGTACATTTTTTTTCTCTGGAGTAAACCGGCCACTACTAGTACTAAAATACCAAAAGTAGGACTCTGGACTTATGTTTGGACGGTTATGTGAGATGCAATGTACAACATGTAAAACACTTGAACAAAACGTGACTTTTTTTTTTTTTTTAACACTCGCTCTCTTTTTGTGTCCTAATATGAGTTAGAATGGTCATGGGCATCCCCTTAGCTTGTCAGGAGCACATTGGCTTTAACATGAACATATGCACACAATGTTAGTCTTCCCCATCACCATGATTGATGCCCATGACTTGAACGGAGCATAAATTTCAACAAAGTACTTTATGTGAATACACTTTTCCACATTATAAAGTAACTATCTCTCAAACTATAGGGGTGCATACATTAAATTTATGGGTGCTTGCGGACCCTCAAAAATGGGCAAGAAAGGCCTACGCATGAGACCAATCAAAACGCAGCAGCAGCAGCATCTCTCCGGTAGGCACATTTTGACTGATTCATGTATGAAGATATAGTGCATCTAAGACGGTTTGCAGATTAGAGGAACATTTGTTTGTAACAAACAAAAATATATTTTTAGACAGCTTTTATTACGGCAAATGCACAATCTTGATAATGTATAGGCTCCAAATAATCTGTGGAATGAAACTAGCACCTTTCTTGTACAGCATGATGTTTTATGCTATAAGATAAGCAACATATACAAATCAGTGTTGCTTTGCTTCATTATATCGATTGTATGATATTGTGATGAAACATTAGAAGGTTGAAAAGAATAAAATCGAAAATTAATTGTCTGAGTCATCTCAAAGCAAAAACATTGCAGGGATGCACTATAGATCATACTATTTATTGCACTGCCTTGTAAACAGTGTATACTGTTTATTATTGTCTTGTTACTTTTTGTCATGATGAATAAACATGTTGAGCTTGTGTCAACGTACACTAATGTGAATGTATCATTCTTAGGGTAAGTCACGGTAAAAATAGTGTAGCGAAGCACTTTGTGGTTCAACATCAGCATATTCGTTTTATTTGGAATTCGAAAACAAAATATTTGTAAGGTACAGAAGTAGTGTACTTAAGGCAAAGTAAAGTCAAGCAGAACGGCATCGACAACAAATTTAAATGCTTGAAACAGGAAAATGAATTTATCGAAACTGAAATGCTCCTCGGCGGTAAAGCATTTACATGTGACCGCATAATAATACAAAGTAAATATAAGTATAGTATATAAGTGAATACAGATCATTGCATTAAAAGGTGTAAGTATATGTTGAATTTCCACAGTTGGGCAAAATATATCGTTATCCAGTACCTACACTATTGTGTTGTGGCACACCACATTGTTAACTATGTACAAATGCTGCCACCGTCTGGTTCAAAGGGGTACCGAGCACGGACCACTACTCAACTCACTGGGGCGTGAGATGTGTCAGACTTCATGCTTTGAGTCAGAGCAATAGCCCAACAATGAATATTTAAATTGGGTTTAGATGTGCAAACGTTCAGGGACACAATGACAATAAATGACACAATGTCATGAGTTCCCCTTGACTAAAATTACCACAATATCGAAAGTTCATGAAAGGAGTTGACTGCCAATTGTAATGGGCAGGTTTTTAACCCGATCACTCCATGAGAGAATGTCAGTGGTGTAATAGACAAATGAGACAACAAATTAAAATGAGCGATTTAAAACATATTCAATTACAGTAATTTAACACATACAAAAAAATAGAAGACAAGGCAGAGAGGTCTTCTGTTTTTTTTTTTGTAAAGTTAATTTTTGCGTCATCATAAAGGATATGTGACTTTTTATTTGGTCATATCAGGTTTGTTAATTGGGTTAATTTTGTCAGCACCTATTTTTAATTTATTGTTTTACAGTGAAATTAACTGCGAATTAATTTCAGTTTTTAGTTTGAAAAAAATCCATGGATTGCCCCCCCCCCCAAAAAAAAGGCCAGGTGCAAAGACATGTAACCATCATTTCCTGTGCAAGTGAATTTTATCATCCAAAATGGTGTTCCACCAACTCCAGTGTTAAATCAATATGCATACTGTAAACCAATGTCAGACAGCTGCATATGGTAGGAACTCCAAAATTCACTCATGTCTGAAGCCACAATTTATGGAGTGATAGTTGCGCTACTGCGAGATCTTTTCATGATGAGCCGCACCTCGACATCCGGGAGACTGTCTTGTCTAGTCTGGGCACAGCCTTCGTCTGCTGCAGCCATGTGTAGGTCGAAGCGCAGGGACACAGACTTCTTACGCAGTTTTGGATTGCCCTTGAAGAACGAGCTCTCCCACTGCTTAATGACCTTGTCAATCTTTTCAGTCCTGGAGAGACAGAGAGACAGAGAGAGAGAGAGAGAGAGAGAGAGAGAGAGAGAGAGAGAGAGAGAGACACACACACACACACACACACACACACACACACACACACACACACACACACACACACACACACACACACACATTACCACAAGATGGCGCTAAAGCTATCATTTTATTGCTTACAGTACTTGAATTGCTTTGGCATGTTGACTAAAACAGGTGTTTTAAATTTAAAAAAAATATATTTTTTTTTACGGAAGATAGGATTAAAAATATATGTAAATAGATGAATCATCTATTCGTGTAGAGGTAGGAAACACTGTATTTCATTTAAAATTTGGTGGAAACTATTACGGATGGTTCAATTTGGACAGCGCATTTTCCCTTGCCTGGACCCGGGGCACTGGAGCCCCCCTCTGGAGCCAGGCCTAGAGGTGGGGCTCGCTGGCGAGCGCCTGGTGGCCCTACACCCATGGGGCCCAGCCGGGCGCTCAGTCCCAAGAGGCAACATGGGCCACCCTTCCCTTGGGCTCATTGACATAGTCGGATTTGACTCCACAAACAGCCTGGGCTCTGCGACCAGTTCTCTCGAGAAGGGTTGGACTCCTTTCCACTCTAGAGTTGCTCATGGTGAGAGGCCTGGAAGGGTGTGATTGGGAGGAACGCCCCCCCCCCCCCCCCCACCAACACGCGCGGGGTGTTTTACTTCTGTGCTCATCACGGATTGTCCATAACAAACACCTTGTTCAAACATAAGGGTGTCCATATGTGCACTTGGCACTCAGACACCCTTGGCTGCAGTTCGATGATTGACTTTGTGGTTTTATCATCGGATTTGCAGCCACATGTTTTGGACACTCAGTTGAAGAGAGGGGCTGAGATGTCAACTGATCACTACTTGGTGGTGAGTTGGCTCCGATGGTGGGGGAAGATGCCGGTCCGATCTCGCAGACCCAAGTGTCTTGTGAGGATTTGTTGGGAGTGTCTGGAAAATCTCCTGTCTGAAGGAGTTTCAACTCCCACCTCTGGCAGAGCTTTTCCCGCGTCCCGGGGGAGGTGGGGGACATTGAGTCAGAGTGGACCATATTCTGCTACTCTATTGTTGAGGCGGCCGATCGGAGTCGAGCCGCTTCTCCTCTACATCGAGAGGAGCCAGATGAGGTGGCTCGGGAATCTGATTAGGATGCCTCCTGGAAGCCTCCTTGGTGAGCAAAGACCCAGGACATGCTGGAGAGACTATGTCACCCGGGTGGCCTGGGAACGCCTTGGGATCCTGGAAGAAGTGTCTAGGGAGAGGGATGTCAGAATAAGCGGGGGAAAATGGATGGATAGATGGAATTTGTCCAGTAGTCTATTCATTTAAGGTCTAACTGCATGAATGAGGCAGTAAATACAGCAAATGGTGACTGTTGGGTTACACTGTTGAACCTTTTTTAATTATTTATTTTTTTTAACTTTGAAGTATATATTTGTACGCAATCAAACATCCATCCATTCTCTGATTCGCTTTATCCTCACAAGGGTCATGGAGGATGCTGGAGCCTATCCCAGCTGTCTTTGGGCAGTAGGCAGGGGACATACTAAACCGGTTGGCAGCCAATCGCAGGGCACATAGAGACGAACAACCATCCACGGCCACACTGACACTCACACACAGACCTTGGGACAATTTCGAGTGGTCCGTTAATAACCTGCCACGCATGTTTTTGGAATGTGGGAGAAAACCGGAGTACCTGGAGAAAATCCACACAGGCACGAGAAGAACATGCAAACTCCACACAGAAAGGCCGGAGTCAGGATCGAACCCTGCTCCTCTGCACTGTGAGGTCAACGTACTAACCACTGGACCACCAGGCCGCCTTCGTAATCATTACTCGACTAAATGAATTTAGAAAACGATCATTAATTTTATCAGCATTTTTGTTATAAGAAGTATTGGTTAATGATTTTCTTTAGTTGCTGTTCATATGTTGGTTTGGCAATGAACGAGACGGTTTTTCTCATACAAATCTTCCAAAATGATTTGCAAAACTGAGAGGTACATGTATTGCATGGTTTTTTTCACTTCTTTTCTTCAAAAAGTAGATGGGGCTGTTTATTAATTAGGTCAGAGGGGGAAGTGTGTCCCAGATCCACCCAAAGATGAATAAACATCCATCTCATCTGACCTGAGAACGTGAAACATACAGAAGCTCATGACATGTCTTTAAATGACATCTCAGTCAAGCGAAACAGTGTTTAAGCCGGTGTTTAGATAACTTAAACATTCTGAGGTGTCAAGATAAGTAAACGTGGGAGATCCTGTGAGTTGGTGCACACAAGTGTGTATGTGGCATCTGACGCCTTAGGCATTTACAAAAAAAAACCCCTTAAATTCCACTTTCCACTCACGTCTGGTCTGACAACAACAAGTGTCACACCTTGAAGACACCATGCCAGACGGGACTTTCAACATCAAACAAAAGTCATTAAAGGGTGGAACAGTTCCCAAGCAGCTTGAAGATGAATAAACCATGGGAATCTAAAGCAGTAGACGTTTATACGCTTCACAAATTGTTCAGGGTGTATAAAATGGGGTGGGGAGGACGTTGGTTATTATTGCTTTGTAGGCTTATGACTTCATAAAATCGCAGTGAATCAGTGCTTGACAGCTTGCAATTTTGAAGTGTTATGACATCAGTTTGTGGGGAAATCAGAAAACTCCTGTTTGATTTTAAAAACACTATCTGTTGTTATGAAAAAGAGCCTTCAGTGGAAACTGATGTCTGAGCATGACATGGCAGAAAAATAATCTTACAACCGTACTTACTCAACAGTGCCATGGCCCTCTGCGCTCTCCTGCACTACGCTACCCTGAAGAATCTCCTGGGTCTTCACAGTGGAAATTGGTAAATGTTTATCTTGCTCTGGTTCTGCAAGAAGACTTGAATGATGAATCAGGTCTCGGAAGTGATCATTGTGTGTGTGTGTGTGTGTGTGTGTGTGTGTGTGTGTGTGTGTGTGTGTGTGTGCGTGTGTGTGTGTGTGTGTGTGTGTGTGTGTGTGTGTGTGTGTGTGTGTGTTACCTGTGAGTATCGCACAGACTGTCCTTTCGATGACATTAGAAAGCATCTCTCTATCAATATTTTCTAACTCTTCGTGACCATAGCCGTGACAAAAGGTCTCCACTGCAGTGAACCACGGGAGCTTTTCAAAGTCCACGTTGGCATCCTGACAAACAAACACACACACACTCCTGAATCACCCGAGATCAGCTGCACGTCATAATGTGTTTTGAGCGTATCAGCACCTTTAGAGGATTCCATCCAAGCAGCTGCTGCCTTATGATGGGGTTCAGCAACTTGGGCAAACAGAGAGATATGTACGCAGTGTGGTAAGAGTCAGAGTAGAAGCTTCTCCATTCCTCAAAGCGAGACAAAATCCTTTTAACGTCATGAAAGTCGTCATGAACGTCAGAAAAGATCTCCTGGGACTTCAGCAGGATGGCAGCTAGAGTGAGAGCAGATAGCGAAATGAAGGTGTGTCCACAATTCAAGTGGATACAAAGTAACCAGATTTTTTTTTTCTTACCCGTTTCCTTCTCCAGATGTTCTTCCTCCTCACTTGAAAGCGGGGCATCTTCAGGTATATCGCAGTCTTCCGCAGGTTTATGACATGTACCTTCAACTCTGCAATATGAGAAGTACATCACACAATGTAAAATTATGGTTTTTACTGTGCATGCATCCCAGCTTTAGCGTAAGCTTCACAGATGGTCAGGGCAGTGTGAAGACATCAATGGCGACCCAGTGGAATCAGTCATAGTAAACGTATTCAACATGAATCAGTGGGAACAACTCTTTTGTTTTTAATTACTTTTCATTGTACACGTGACTAAAGTGCCTCACCTGGTGATTAATGGCGAGGGGGCATTTATGAAATTGTCACTCTATTAGGTACACTTGCAGCGTCGTTTAACAATACAAGAGCTGTGTAAACAATTCAACACCTATGCTCAATTTCCGTGGATATGATCCAGGTTTATCGAATGCTGTGGGTCGTGTGCGTACTATTATGGCAAAAAGTCTGTAAACATTCTACTGTATAAGTCATGTGATTTGTAGATATAAATTAGAATTAAAGCCAACTCACCTCTCAGTGTCAGCTCCATTAGTGGAATTGTCACTGGCTGAGATGAAACAGAAGGTCACAAAAAGTGAATTTGTCAAGTGATTGTTTCATTGTGGGTCATGGATGGATTGATGACGCAGCCTACTCACAGCTGAGTTGCTGCAGGTGCTGGGCATGCTCCTGGATCTTCTGTTGTCTCTGGGCGCACAATGCCACCATCTGGCTCGAAAGTAGCGTGTGCAGCTCCAGCTCCAATGAGTTGATTTCAACAATCTGTACTCAAAGAGAGCCTTGAGTAAAAAAACAACAACTGAAATATGACCTATAAATACATGTTCTTAGCATCTATAAATCCAACAGCCATCATGTGACTTGGGTAAGCAAATCCAATGGTGTCTTACCTTCTCCTGCAGACACTCCACCAAATTGTGCGCAAAGAGGGTCATATCTCTGTAAAATTTCAGTTGTTTCTCTGATGAGCCTTCTTCCAGAGATTCCACAGAGGTTTTAGCACTCTCTGCATCTCCCTCCATCCGACACAGCTGAGCCCGCCGCGCACTGTGTACCTCCTTCAGGGAGTCTAGTCTGCAGACAAACATGATCACCTGGATCACTTAAACCCCTTGGCAAAGTGGGAAGAATACATGGGAGAGACATTCACCGCAAACATACTTTCCTGCTATCCTCCGCTTAACCATTGAGACAGTGACAGAGGGGAGCATCTTTGGGATCTTGAGCCCTGCTGATTTCTTCTTATGTCTCTGATGTTCATCGCGCTGGAAGCTACTGCTGACTTTCAACATCAAACAAAAGTCATTAAAGGGTGGAACAGTTCCCAAGCAGCTTGAAGATGAATAAACCATGGGAATCTAAAGCAGTAGACGTTTATACGCTTCACAAATTGTTCAGGGTGTATAAAATGGGGTGGGGAGGACGTTGGTTATTATTGCTTTGTAGGCTTATGACTTCATAAAATCGCAGTGAATCAGTGCTTGACAGCTTGCAATTTTGAAGTGTTATGACATCAGTTTGTGGGGAAATCAGAAAACTCCTGTTTGATTTTAAAAACACTATCTGTTGTTATGAAAAAGAGCCTTCAGTGGAAACTGATGTCTGAGCATGACATGGCAGAAAAATAATCTTACAACCGTACTTACTCAACAGTGCCATGGCCCTCTGCGCTCTCCTGCACTACGCTACCCTGAAGAATCTCCTGGGTCTTCACAGTGGAAATTGGTAAATGTTTATCTTGCTCTGGTTCTGCAAGAAGACTTGAATGATGAATCAGGTCTCGGAAGTGATCATTGTGTGTGTGTGTGTGTGTGTGTGTGTGTGTGTGTGTGTGTGTGTGTGTGTGTGTGCGTGTGTGTGTGTGTGTGTGTGTGTGTGTGTGTGTGTGTGTGTGTGTGTTACCTGTGAGTATCGCAAGACTTTGTGGCCGATGGAGTACGGAGCTTTCCATCGTCTTATTGACCATTTGTAGTCGTGAAGCTGTTGTAGGTAGAGGCTCTGATTTTGGTTCATCTGGAGTGATGGTGTGGTCGCTGAAGCCGTTCTCCAAACCTTTTTCATTGGGTTCCAGCAAAGACGATCTCCAGAGTTGCAGACGCATCTGCTGATCACTGTGGGCCATGTATCTGCAGGAATGAAGCAACACATCGATGAGTATGGGGGCGATGTGAAAAATGCACGTGTGTATTGTAACTCATACTCGTATCAAAAGTTTTGGGCATGGGACACTTTCCAGGAGTAGTTGGCATCCAGCCTTGAAAAATTGATCAATGATTCATGTAATCGATGCCATTGAGCATCACAAGCTAAAAGACATTGAAGGCTGACTGAAATTGTTGACGGCCTACTCCCAAAGCCACCGTTATCTGGATTTTCCCCTGGATGAAAATTACGCTCTGACGCTAGCAATCCCATCAGCCCCTTACCCCTGCTTCCCTAGCGTGAGACTGATATGCAGAGGACGTCTCCACGGAAACAATAAGCTTGGCGATGCAGTTGCGGATGCTTGGCACGCATACACACCCATGACAACAATGTCCTGCAGATCTGCTTGGATGTTACCGCCTTTGTTGGATTCCTATTCGCTGCGCCCTCGGGACGCAACTTGACTGACAGAGCGCTCCAATGGTCTGAGCTGCGAGTCAGACTGGTTGCATCGCGTTCCCCCGCTCCCCTCTTCCATCTTCCCCGTTCACTACATGTAAAAGCTTGAGATTTGTTGTACATACATGTCTTTTTTATATGTGCACTGCATGCGCTGAGGTTCGAGTCTGTCGGTTCCACCCCCCCTTTCCTATTGTTTTCCTTTCACATCTAAGATATCTGGGTGCGAAACAGCGAACCCCCAACCTTCCAATTCTGTCTCTTTCTGTTGGTCATTGGTCCCCCCCTTTCTGGACAGGTTGTAACTGGGAAAGTAAATTCCTTGTGTGTTTTACATACTTGGCCAATACATCAGATTTAATATTTATATTTAATATTGCAACAGACTTTTATGAAGGACAAGTCTGCCATTGAAACTTTGATCTTCAGCTCAGTGGTGAACTAAAACTCCAATTAACTTCTTCGCTTAACTCACAGGTGTCAAGCTCCAACAAGACACATCATTTTTTTTTTTTGTGGTAAACCAAAGCAAATAAAATGTGTGTACTAAGTGTGTGGCGAATAGTTTTGTTCTTTTGGTAGAAAATATGTTCCCAAATTGCAATTTCACTTCACTTTTAATTGATTTAAAAAGTATTTTTCCACCACAACTCCTTTTTAACATAAGAGTAACACTGAATTCATATTTGGTTGCCAATATATTCCAGGAATTTTGATTTCAAATTCAGTTTATTAAAAATATCTTTCTATCCATCTGTCTATCCATCTATACACACACACACACGCGCGCGCGCGCATACACACACACACACACA